AAAATATGTGTGAGAATGGTACCCTACAACAGTTTTTATTGTATTCATAATAATTACTATATAGAGGAATCCCTCGATTAGTGTGGCTTATGAATAGATTAAAAGATACGCTAATCTGTACATTAAAAGATACGCGCTAATCGAAAACGCATAAGTCGAATATAATAATTTATAGGAATTGATGTAATTTGTACCTCAAATTTTAGTATCATTACAATTAATTTCTAATTTGCATACCTTTTAATCAAAATGCTATGAATTAATGTTTATTAATCTGATTTTTTAGGAAAAACTTATTTAGAGCGGTTTGCCATATGTTATTCTTCTGTTCTTTATATAATTGGCGATACTGAAAAATTTCCCCTTCTAATTTTGCACACATATCATAATATTAGTATTTTAATCAGAAAATTTTATTTATAATCTTTCCACGGTAAATGTATAAATCATTTATATTAGGTTGGTGCAAAAATAATGACGTAATAATGTCGTTTTTTGACGTATTTTTAACGTCAAAAAACGACATTATTACGTCATTATTTTTGTACCAACCTAATATTTCAATATTTTTTTAATAAATTTAAATTTCTGTATTTAATTATTTTTTTAACAGCAAAACAGAAATTTCCTTTTAAGACCTTCAAAATAATCATAAAAAACCCCAACATATTCAAAAAATTTAATAGACAAATATGTATTTTTTATTATCGGTTTATATTATAAAATTTATCTATTTATAATTATTTTTTTAGATAACGTAATATTTGACAAACGAAATCGTTACCCATTTTCCATTTCTAAATTTTAGAAAATTTTTAATTAATCGGTAACTATTATAGTTAAACTGAATTTAGGCACTAATATTGTATGAATTAATCGAATTTTTAGCGCACTTATCGAAATGCATTAATCAAATGCGCATTAATCGAGGGATTCCTGGATACTACTGATAATTAAATAAGGTGTATTTTGCTAGCAATATTTCTCTCAAACGTGTTTGTTTAAATAATATGGGCAAGTTCTGTCAATCACTTTTTAACTTAATTTTTCCAATTCCCGAATTTTGTGTTTTGTGTTATCAGTAAATTTGCCAAAGTTCATATTTATTTTTACTTTATATTATTTTCTTGCCGAGTACTTTCGAATGTTGCTACATTTTATTTCAAGGATTCTTCTCTCTATATTTATGCAATTGTTGTTGTTTTTTTTTTGTTTTGTTTTTTTTTCACGTTTGACGGAACCAATTCAAGTCGCTCATGGTGACGTCATATAAACAGTCAAACTGATTTTTTTTAATTCTTCAATATACATTCCCCTATGGAGATAGATACCTTATTTAATGTTGATTGCTTTTCTTTTATTACAACAGCCTCCAGAATTTGGAGTCTTTCTTTTCACTATGTACTAATAATTACCATATAGACTACTAATAATTACTGTATATACTACTCGTTCCCGAGCATCCTCGTCTGCTGGCGAGAGGGGGGGACTACCAAATCCCTATTATAGACGCCTGATCAGCCAACAGATTCCACCTGTGATTTATACTGCAACTATGAGCAAGCCTTACTGACAGTTTCTATGACATAGCGAATAATCTGACGTATTTTTTTTAACAATGCCAGTATGCTTAAACGCTCGGCCACGTTGACTTGTGAATTCGTGCTAACACAACCCTCGACGGCCTCCGAACGCTTCCGTCACCTACAGGACTTGGGTTAACGGTTGGGGTGGTTTGCAGCCACTTTCCACAGGCACCACGCGGCTGGGATCGCTTCCCCAAGTCGATATTATAAAGCAGTCAACTTCCTGACAAATCGACGATAGCGAGATTTGAACCCCGGTCTCATGGTCAGAAAACGAACGTTCTAATAATTCACGCCCAGAAATTTGGGAACCACTTGTAATCATGCGTTGCAGTTAAGAATAAATACGGGGAAAACTAACACGTTTTTTTTTTTGTGTGGCAGCGTATACAGTGCATTGAAAAATAAATTTCTTAACCTCATTAATGAAGACATTGTAAACGCATTTAAAAGTAAGGAAATAGCGTTATGAAGACATCTAGAAAAATATGTATTGGTTAGGTTCAGCTGCGTATAGGGACATGGCCTGTGCGTAAAACCTTCTTATCAGCGGGTAACCTGACTGGACGCCCCGGGAAGTGTTTGTATCCCTTGCTATCCTGTCAATATTTTGCTTTGTTTCTACCTACGTTTATATACGTTACAAATGAAACTAAGCACAACTGACTCTTAAAGGATGAAAAGTCTTTGCCGATTTTGATGTCATTCTGGGTGTTTCGTTTTTTTTTTTTTTTTGTCCAAATCCGTGATTTTTTTTTGCTTTTGCTAAATCCCGTAAAAACACTTCATGAAATTCATTATTTTTTATCCATAATGTTGAATGTGTAAACATTATTCAACAGGAAAAATCTCGAGTTTATGTTAAAAATTGCCGCCAAACATTGTTGAATTATTTAAGATGGAATAATCTATTATGACATGTCTCTAATTTGTATTTAGACACATTGTATTTTATTCCGTATATATATATAGGAACTGGTTAGGTAAATAATCCAAAGTTCCTTAGTATTTTTGTTATTATTTTAAAAAAATAGTGCTCGATGTAGAGCATATATATATATTAATTATAGGTGTAGAGCATATATATAATTAATTATTTAAAAATATGATTCCATATATTGGAATCATATTTTTTTAAATAATTATTATATATATATATATATATATATATATATATATATATATATATATATATATTATTAGTGGTAAATATATATATATATATATATATATATATATATATATATATATATATATATATATATATATAAATTCCCAAGATGATAGAATCAGGTAGAACTCAATGTCTAGGACAGAGTAAGAATATAATATAAAAGGCTGAAACACTAATATTCATGGTTATAATTTATTACATTGGAATCGTAATCACGATCAATTCATCAGACCTAGAAATTGAATTTTCCGATTTCTTTTTTGAATTTGTAGGTTTGATAATTTTGGATCGTGATTACATTTACTATAATAAATTATAACCATGGAATATTAATGTTTGCTTTATATATATATATATATATATATATATATATATATATATATATATATATATTATCAAATATTTATGTCATGGGTATTTTAGCAGGATCTCTGTCAATATGCGGTATTGTGGTATATGTTGGATCAAATGGGGATGGATGAGTTCTTGTGGTGATAGAGTAAATTGTAATAAATGAATTGGTCACGAATCAGATTAGGTGTAGGATAATCAGTGTTGATCAGCCCCATCCCACGTCCCCTTCGGCCTTGTGCCAAAATTGTAATTATGTTACTATAAATAAATTTGAGGTATAGATTACATCATTTCCTATAAATTATTATATTCGACTTATGCGTTTTCGATTAGTGCGTATCTTTTAATGTATACATTAGCGTACCCTTTAATGTATACATTAGCGTACCCTTTAATGTATACATTAGCCATTCTAATCCCTATATTACTGTATTACACAGCTTACTTGAATTGTTGCTTAAGTTTTTAATGCTTGGGTATTCAATTCTGAGTCGCAAAAAAGAGCGATAACAGTTAGTGGACATGGTAAACCTATTTTACTGAAAAATTATTTTTATAGAAATATTTAAACCACGACATTCTACACATGGGCACATGCACACACGTACATGTGCACGCAGACACACATACACAAAAAGAAGAAAACCTAATACCCCCCCCCCAAAAAAAACGCATAAATTATTATTTTTTTTAACTTAATATAAAATTGAAAAAGAGAAATTCGGCAGACGATTGCTGATACCTCCTGACAAATGGTCCCAACGATTACAAAATGGTTTGTTTAGGAAACACTGGAGTCGGGTGCTGGATATAGCATCAATCAGCTAAATGGCAAATTTTATATTTGCATTAATTCTAAAAATTTCTATCGAGAGTACTATTGTCTACTCATCTATGAATGCTGAATGTTTCTTTATAAGGAAACAGATAATATCACCATTACTATGAGCGATGGAGAGAACTGATACTGCACTTTGATCCCAAACCGATGTTCAGGGATTGAGGAAAAGCGTTACTCTATTAGCATTAGCTGCTCGTTCAATGGATGCCAAATGTTTCTTTATAAAGAAACGGTTATTATTACTACTACCATTAAATTGACTAATTGATTTTTTGACGGTTTATCAACCTCTTGAAGATTATTAAATAAAAAAAGAAAATATTTTATATTGTAAGAATTTTTTGTAGATAATAATGATCTTACTGATACAGGTCCTACTATTTAACCCATAGCGTGGGGTAGATGAGGTATATTCATACCTTACCCAATGGTATTTGCGCGTAAGTGAATATAACGAACCCAACGGGAATTGGAACTCGGCTCTCCTATTTCCAATTCTGACCTGTTAACTATTAGACTTCTGACCATCCATGGAACTGACCAGGCTCAACGTTGCTTAACTTCGGTAATCGGACAAGAACCGATGTTTAAGCGTGATATGACCGTAATTCCATTACCATTAGAGATGAAGCGAACTGATACTACACTTTCATCTCAGCCCGAGGCTCCTTTGAAGGAAATTGTAACTCTAGTAGCATTAGTTGCTCGGTCAATGAATGTCGAATGCTTCCTTATAAGGAAACAGTTATCGTTAGTATTACCACTAGAAATGAAGAGAATATATACTCCACTTTGATCTCAACTCGATGGCCAGAAAGTGAAACGAATAACCCGGGTAGCATTGGCTGTTCGTTCAATGAATGCCGAATGTTTCTTCATAATGAAACAAATAACATTACCGTTACCATTTAATTAGCCGATATAACTTTGTAGAAAAAGGATTTACGAAGATTATGTTGCGTCAATATTCTGAATAGAGATAACGTAACTTCTTGATCAACTTTAAAACCAATTTTCGAAATCCTAGCTTTTTTGACCCGAAATAATGTGCATAATTATTTTCATATTGGTCAACTGTTTTTGTCTTCTTCTTCTTCTTCTTCTTCTTCTTCTTCTTCCTTCCTTCCTTCATTCATTCATTCATACCTTCCTTCAGTCATTCCTTCCTTCATTCAATTTTTCCTACCTTCATTCCTTTCTTCATTCCTTACTTCCATCCTTCCTTCCTCTATTCTTTCCTTTGCTTCTTCTTCCTTCATTCCTTCCTTCATTCATTCATTCCTTCATTCTTGCCTTTCTCCCTTCCTACTTTCATTCTTTTCTTCCTTCATTCCTTCCTTTGCTTCTTTCATCCTTCCTTCCTTCCTTCCTTCCTTCCTTCCTTCCTTCATTCTTGCCTTCCTTCCTTCCTTCCTTGCTGTCTACTTTCATTCTTTTCTACCTTCATTCCTTACTTCCATCCATCCTTCCTTCATTCTTTCCTTTCATTCTTTTTTCCTTTATTTATTCCTTCATTCCTTCATTCTTGCCTTCCTTCATTCTTACTTTCATTCTTTCCTTCCTTCATTCTTTTCTTCCTTCATTCCTTCTTTCATTCATTCATTCATTCCTTATTACATCTTATTCTCACCTTCTCTTTCTCTCACTCGCTCGCATATATACATAGACAATAACCACATACTTAAATAACAAGAGAGAAATACATCCGCTATATTAGTTTTGGGCGTCACCCCCTAAAATGACTCCTTTTACAATCAATTTTAGAAACCTGATCTAACTCGGCCAATGAGAACTTCTTAAAGGCTATATTCAAAGTAAAATGCTGATACACACACTAAAAAAAAAGTAAAAGACAAATAAAAAGGAAAGCAACAATTGTTACATGAAAAACAATGTTTAACATTGTCATGTTGACATATCAACTCTCTCACCAACACCGGGAAAGTCCAGGTTTTGAACTCTTTATACCGGTCTCTGGGTCTGTAACTCACTAACCTTCTCCCAGTTAAGTGTTGGTCCCTCGCCATATCTGTCTATTTTGGTAAGATCCGCCCTGTAAACAAATTTTGACCTTTTTTTTAGTAACCCTCATTTCAATTTTCAAACATTTTCTTGAATTTCATTGGTAAATAAAAAATAAGCTTCGAGAAAATTCCATAACTAAACAGTCAAAATTTGTGCAAAAATAGGCTGAAATGACAAAAAAAAAATATTTCTCAAATTCATCCCTAATTTAAATGTTTCAAGAAATCCTATTGGCTAAAAAATAAAAAATATAACATTCGCCCGCGCATTTCTCAGAAAAATTCGCAACACTTTCATCATTAAAACTAAAAATGCTCCCTCTTCAGTTCGAATTATTCGAAAACCATTTCACCAATCCAGGCCATGATTCGGTTAAATTATTGCTGAGGTAACATTTTTCGATGACAAATTTACCGAATCGGAATTTCTTTATGAGTGAAACATTGACCTGAATTAAGTTAATGCTGACTTTAAACCACGCTTCCGTTGGAAATACCTGCTAGAATTGTTACAGTTTTTTGTGTATATATATATATGTACTAGTGAGTTAGCTCAGATGACTTAACTCGCTTTATAGTCCACCAATAGAAGGTTAACCAATCAGAAGACGTAGAACATTCAATCCGTCGTGTATAAAGGCGGCCATTTTGTTCACTCTACCCGAATGTCCAGTGCAAGCTTGTCAGGCGAAGAGAAACAGAAGGACGAACTATGCTCTGCTACTTTTACCAAAATATCCACTGCTAACCTGAACATCGCTTTCCTACTGTCTTCGAAATATTCACTGCTAACCTCTGGATTCTATACTCGAAGACGACCGTTATTAGGAACAACAAGAATTTCAAAGAATTATGTTTTAGAGTTAACATTTTGAGAAATCCTTCTGTTTCTTTCTGTTTTTTTGATAAAATCTCTGTTTCTATTTTGTGGTTAAAGACCTTAATCTGGAATTCCTGATTCTTTATTTGAGGACTTTCTTCCTTTCGCTGTTCGATACTATTATTCAGCCGATTATTGTTAACATTATTATACTGTACACAAGCCGTCAAAAATGTCGGACATTGTTAGAAAGTTTTAATAGTAAGATGAAACGAAATAAAATATCTTGAAACAATGTCTTGAGATTCAATAAATCGGAGAAACAGAATTCATAGCTAAAACCGAAGTCAATGGACTGTTTAATAAATCCGTTCCCTTTATAATGTTTAGACATTCAATGGTATTGTGACGTGACGTGGTCCAGGGTTGATCCTTTGATCACGGCACCAGTTGTGACGTCGTCCCCCGGTCGCAGCGTCGACTATGTCGTTCGATCCCGGTCGCGGCGCCAATTGTGACGTCACGTGCTCCCCAGGCTCTGATATCCTGGTCACGGACAGCACCAACTGTGACGTCTTTGCCGCGGCGTCAGCTGTTCGCTCCTCGCAGCTCCAAACGTGACGTTCTAACCCTTTGGTTAGATTGATACCAGCATCGCCGTTCCCAACCCGCTTCCAACGCCTAGTTACCAGGGTAACTGCACTGATCTCCAGTCTGCCTACCCACGTTGTGAATTGATCTTAGACAGACGAGATCAAACAGGGGTTGGGGCCGTAATGCAAGTTGAGTCTAACGGGGGTGATAACACACAATTATGTATAAAAAAAACAAAAAAAAACTCACAAGGTCCAACGTATCAAAGAAGAAGGTAACAAACTTTTTATGTCTATTTGCTCGGTACATAGGACTATGTCTACTTCCCGACCCGTTCTGTGGATTGTGGCACGACGCTTTTACTAGGCCACTTTAAGGCTTCAAGTTGTCTGCTCTCTCAGAAATTTGTGTTTCGGTGTGTCTTTGGACGAAAGTCGAAAAAAAAACTTATTTCTGTGGTCTGATTCTAAGTCGCTCTTCAAACTACTTGTTCTTGGTTGAAGAAGAGTCCAGAAGTGTGCGTGAATCTTGGTCAGCTATCTTGACGCGGTTTCAACACTGGGCGCTCATCTCTGCTTGTCGTCCACGGCTCAAAACTCTTTCGCCGTCCGCTGCTCAAACTCTCTCGCCGTCCGCGGCTGAAACTCTTCTCTTCAGAGTCTGAATTACTGGTCACTCATCTCCGCCGTCGGTGCGCGAATTAACTTTTTCTCTTCAGAGTCTGAATTACTGGTCACTCATCTCCGCCGTCGGTGCGCGAACGAACTTCTTCTCTTCGGCTTGGGTCGGACGAACTTCTTCACTTAGGCCAAACGAACTGGCCTCTCTTGCCCGCAAAGGGGCGAACGAACCTGGCCCGCCGTCCGCGGCTCAAGAAACTGATTTCTGTCGGTTTGGGTCCCGCTTTTATTGACGCAGTCAAAACTGGGGTGGGTCTGTCGGCGCCAGGGGTTTCTTCGATAATTCTAAATACGCATCCACCTTTCTTATTTCTGGTTAGGGATTTTCCATTTTCGGTAACTCACTCTCACTCCCACTTCCTTACTGTGCCTCTGAGGGGCGTATACCCGCTTCTTTCGCTTCTTCGTATCGGCTCCTTACACTTACACTTCTGACAAGGGCGTCGACCGATTCTCCTCGTGCATCACGTGACCGCTCTCGGCCAATGAGGTCCTGGTCGGGTATCTTTCCTCCTCCTTCGTGTGTCATGTGACCGCTTTCGGCCAATGAGGTCCTGGTCGGGTATCTTTCCTCCTCCTTCGTGTGTCATGTGATCTTATTTAGCCAATGACGTCTTTAGTCGGGCGTGGACAATCCGTGGCTTTGTTTTAGGAAAGAACACCTTGTTTAAAAAACAAAAATATTAATTCAAATCGCCTTTATCATGAGCGACTGAGATGACACCTTCGGCTTTTTAACACGTGGTATTTGTCAAGCAGTTTATCGCTAATTGGATATGATCTAAGAAAGGAATTTCTCAGACCTGTTGGCGTTTTGGAACGAAATAAAAATATTTCATTTTCCTCCGCTTGAAGGTCTGATAATAAAAATCTTTATTATCTCAAAAAAAAAATTTCCAGCGACATCGTCTTGTGTGGCTTTTTCTAATTCTGGAGACTGTCTATGTTTTCGTATTAATGGTTTGCCTTCATATCCTTAGATACACTTCCCACTTGTTACCTATCAATATTTTCATTGTCCCTAAACTTCGTTCCTTCTTTTCTTTCTTTTCCCTTGGGTGACAATCCAATTGATAACAACTTCCATTTTCCCCGAATCTCGGTTAGATGCTTGACCTGGATATTTTTCGACACCTGTTATCTGTCAGCCGAGCGTGTGTGCTCGCCTATGACCTGTTTTCGTATTATTTTTTCTTTCTTTCTTCTTCGTTTTCTCTTTCCTTCTTCCAGATCGCTTGAACGTAAAGAAAGAATTATTCTTAAAACCCAAAATATTTTTCGGCCCTAAATAATTATTAAATGGTTGATAAACCGTAAAAAAACAAATCATATATCTATGAATATTTCTTTTCAGCTCGTCAGGTATGCATGGTGTCACAGTATCTATGATTCATTGATTATTCCTGGTATTATATAAAGCACTTTTTGTTCAATATTTTTTCGTGTTAAACATTTGATATGTTTATTATAACAGTGAAATGAAATTATCTCTCAGAAGATGAAGTTTATTAGCAGAACAACAAATTCTGTTTCAAGACCAAGTTTAAACAAGCCAATCACTTAATAGACAAAGTGATCTGAATGCCTCACATGAAAGACTTCAACAAATAAGACTGCAATCTAAGAAAAGTAAGAGTAAAGGAACTGGTTGAAAGTTGATTTTAATCAGGAATTATTTTTTCTAAATGCAGATAAATATTTTATTTATATAAATTATTAAAACGACGGAAGGAAGTAATCACTCATAGATTTACTAAGTGAACTTGATTTACCTCCCCTTCATATTACAGAAAAAACAACATTCAAAGAAGCAGATGACGACTGGCGTTGTATTAAAAATGCTTACTGCAAACATGCATTGTAAATGATTCTAATAATACTAGTTTACCCGTGCAGTAAAAAAAGACGAAGGCAATTGTTAAGAAGTTTAAATAATGAGATGCAATGAAACAAAATTCTTGAAACAATTTATTGAAATTAAGTAAAACGGAAATAAAGAATTCACAATTAAAACCGAAGTCAATGAACTGTTTAATTAACCCATTCTCTTTATCTTTTTTTATACGTTCAATGGTATCTACGATTCATTGATTACTCCTGATATAAATCGCCCCTTGCCCAATATCTTTTCATGTTAAAAAATTGATGTCTTTAATATAACAGTGAAATGGAAATATCCATCGGAAGAGAAATATTAGCGCCAGAACGACAAGGATAGAAATGACAATGCCTATTCCAAGACTAATTTAAAGCAAGACGATCACAATAGACAAAGGTATCTGAGTGCCTCACATGAAAGGCTTGAACAAATAAGACTGCAATCAAAGAAACGTAGTATTAAAGGAACTGATTAATTAAATGGTTCATTTTGCTCGAGAACCAGTTTTGTCCAAATGCAGATAAATGTTTTATGTGTATAGATTATTAAAACGACCAAGTGAAGTAATCACATGTAAATTTACTAAATTGAATTGATTTATCTCCCTTACTACTGCATATGGGACAGAAAATATAAAAAAATTTATAAATAAATATACATTGATAATCATTATTTGGTGTGATGATTACGAAATCGTGCCACGTGGTTCTTTTATTCGTTCATAGACAAGATCCATGTTTAGCTTGCGGGTGGGAGGCCGACGAAAATTCTTGGAAATGGGCCGACAAAAAAAAAGAGACAAATTTGGAACTTCGTTCTCGCAAAAAAAAAAAAAAAAAAAAAACGGAGTATAACAAAGTACGGTTTTTCCATTAATTCCTTCCTTCCATCATTCATTCATTCTTTTCTCACTTCCCTCCTTCCTCCCTCCCTTCCTTCCTTCCTTCCTTCATTCTTTTCTTCCTTCATTCTTTCATTTAATCATTCATTCTTTTCTTCCTTCATTCCTTCCTTCATTTATTCATTCATTCTTTCCTTCCTCACTTCCTTCCTCCCTTCATTCCTTCCTTCCTTCATTCTTTTCCTTCCATTCATTCATTCTTTTCTTCCTTCCTTCCTTCCTTCATTATTCTTTCATTCTTTTCTTCCTCCTTCATTCTTTTCATTTATTCATTCATTCTTTTCTTCCTTCATTCCTTCATTCATTTCTTTTTCATTTATTCTTCCTTCATTCTTTTTTCTTCCTTCATTCTTTCATTTATTCATTCATTCCTTCATTACTTTCTTCATTTATTCATTCATTCTTTTTCCTTCCTTCCTTCCTTCCTTCCTTCCTTCTTCATTTTTTTTCATTTATTCATTCATTCTTTTCTTCCTTCATTCCTTCCTTCATTTATTCATTCATTCTTTTCTCACTTCCCTCCTTCCTCCTTCCTTCCTTCCTTCTTTCCTTCCTTCCTTCCTTCATTCTTTCATTTATTCAGTCATTTCTTCCTTCATTCTTTTCATTTATTCCTTCATTCTTTTTCACTTCCCTCCTTCCTCCCTTCCTTCCTTCCTTCATTCTTTCTTTTCTTCCTTCATTCATTTATTCATTCATTCTTTTCTTTTATTCCTTCATTCTTCATTTTTTCATTTTTTTCTCACTTCCTTCCTCCCTTCCTTCCTTCCTTTCTTTCTTTTCTTCCTTCATTTTCATTTATTCATTCATTCTTTTCTTCCTTCATTCCTTCCTTCATTTATTCATTCATTCTTTTTTTTTCTTCCTCCTCCTTCCTCCCTTCCTTCCTTCCTTCCTTCCTTCATTCTTTCTTCCTTCATTCTTTCATTTATTCATTCATTCTTCATTCCTTCCTTCATTTATTCATCTTTTCCTTCCTTCTTCCTTCCTTCCTTTTTCTTTTATTCTTTCATTTCATTCATTCATTCTTTTCTTCTTCATTCTTTCTTCATTTATTCATTCATTCTTTTCTCCTTCCCTCCTTCCCCCCCTTCCTTCCTCCTTCATTCCTTCCTTCCTTCATTTTTTTCTTCCTTCATTCTTTCATTTATTCATTCATTCTTTTCTTCCTTCATTCCTTCATTTATTCATTCATTTATTCATTCATTCTTTTCTTCTTCCTTCCTTCCTTCCTTTCATTTATTCATTCTTCCTTCCTTCATTCCTTCCTTCATTTATTCATTCCTCATTTTTCATTCCTTCCTTCCTTCATTCTTTTCTTCCTTCATTTCTTTTCTTCCTTCATTCTTTCATTTATTCATTCATTCTTTTCTTTCATTCCCTTCCTTCCATTTATTCATTCATTCTTTTTCCTTCCTTCCCTTCCTTTCTTTCCTTCTTTCTTTTTCCTTCCTTCTTTCATTTATTTCATTTATTCATTCATTCCTTCATTCATTTTTTCATTTCTTTTCTTCCATTCATCCCTTCCTTCATTCATTCTTTTCTCACTTCCCTCCTTCTTTCATTTATTCATTCATTCTTTTCTTCCTTCGTTCCTTCCCTCCTTCATTTATTCATTCATTCTTTTCTCACTTCACTCCTTCCTTCCTTCCTTCCTTCCTTCATTCATTCATTCATTTCTTCCTTCATTCTTCATTTATTTTATTCTTTTTCATTCATTCTCCTCCCTTCCTTTTCCTTCCTTCTTTTCTTCCTTCATTCTTTCATTTATTCATTCATTCTTTTTTCTTCATTACTTTCTTCATTTATTCATTCCTTCCTTCCTTCCTTCCTTCTTTTTCCTTCCTTCATTCATTTTTTATTTTATTCATTCATTCTTTTCTTCTTTTCTTCCTTCATTCCTTCCTTCATTTATTCATTCATTCTTTTCTCACTTCCCTCCTTCCTCACTTCCTTCCTCCCTTCATTCCTTCCTTCCTTCATTCTTTTCTTCCTTCATTCTTTCATTTATTCATTCATTCTTTTCTTCCTTCATTCCTTCCTTCATTTATTCTTTCATTCTTTTCTCACTTCCCTCCTTCCTCCCTTCCTTCCTTCCTTCCTTCATTCTTTCATTTATTTCCTTTTCCTTCCTTTTCTTCATTTATTCATTTTTTCTTTCTTCCTTTATTCATTCATTCTTCTTTTCTTCCTTCATTCTTTCATTTATTCATTCATTCTTTTTATTCATTCATTCATTTATTTTTTCACTTCCCTCCCTCCTTCCTCCCTTCCTTCCTTCCTTCCTTCCTTCATTCTTTTTTCTTCCTTCATTCTTTCATTTTTCATTCATTCTTTTCTTCTTCATTCCTTCCTTCATTTATTCATTCATTCTTTTTATTTCCTCCTTCATTCCTTTTCCTTCCTTCTTCCTTCATTCTTTCATTTATTCATTCATTCTTTTCTTCCTTCATTCCTTCCTTCATTTATTCATTCATTCTTTTCTCACTTCCCTCCTTCCCCCTTCCTTTCCTTCCTTCTTTTCTTCCTTCATTCTTTCATTTATTCATTCATTCTTTTCTTCCTTCATTCCTTCCTTCATTTATTCATTCATTCTTTTCTCACTTCCCTCCCTCCTTCCTCCTTCCTTCCTTCCTTCCTTCCTTCATTCTTTTCTTCCTTCATTCTTTCATTTATTCATTCATTTTTTTTCTTCCTTCATTTCCTTCCTTCATTTATTCATTCATTCTTTTTCTTCCCTCCTTCCCTTCCTTCCTTCCTTCCTTCCTTCATTCTTTTCTTCCTTCATTCTTTCATTTATTCATTTTCTTTTTCCTTCCTTCCTTCCTTCTTTCATTTATTCATTCATTCTTTTTACTTCCTCCTTTCCCTTCATTCTTTCATTAATTCTTTCTTCTTCCCTTCTTTCATTTATTCAATTCTTTTTTTTCTTTCATTCTTTCCCTTCATTCAATCTTTTCTTCATTCATTCTTTTCATTCATTCTTTTCTCACTTCCTCCTTCTTTCATTTATTCATTCCTTTTCTTCCTTCGTTCCTTCCCCTCCTTCTTTTATTCATTCATTCTTTTCTCACTTCTTCCTTCCTTCCTTCCTTTTCGTTTATTCATTCATTCATTTTTTCTTCCTTCGTTCTTTTCCTTCATTTATTCATTCATTTTTTTCTCAATTCCTTCCTTTCCTTCCTTCCTTCCTTCCTTCCTTCCTTCCATTTTTTATTCATTCTTTCCCTTCTTCCTTTTCATTTATTCAATTTATTCATTCATTCATTCCATTCATTTCTTTTTTCATTTTTTCTTCATTTTCATTCTTTTTCCTTCCTTCTTTTATTCATTCATTCATTCCTCCTTCTTTCGTTTATTCCATTCTTTTCTTCCTTCCTTTCCTTCATTTATTCATTCATTCTTTTTCTTCCTTCCTTCCTTCCTTCCTTCCTTCATTCATTCTTTTTTTTCATTTATTCATTCATTCATTCATTCATTCATTCTCTTCCTTCATTCTTTCCTTCCTTCATTTATTCATTCATTCATTCTTTTCTTCCTTCCTTCCTCCCTTCCTTCATTTATTCATTCGTTTCTTCCTTCTTTCCTTCCTTCATTCATTCATTTTTTCTTCTTTCATTCCTTTCTTCATTCATTCATTTCTTCCTTCCTTCATTTCTTCATTCATTCATTCTTTTCTTTCTTCCTTCCTTCATTTATTCATTCATTCTTTCATTCTTTTCTTCCTTCGTTCCTTCCTTTCTTCATTCATTCATTCATTCTTTTCTTCCTTCATTCATTCATTCATTCATTCTTTTCTTCCTTCCTTCATTCATTCATTCATTCTTTTCTTCCTTCATTCCTTCATTCATTCCTTCGCTTTTTAAAACAATACCCATAGCCTTGGTGTGAAGGTAGTTAAAATGATAGCGGTGTCAAGGGAAAAACCGTCCTTTTGACATTACGTCTTTTTGCGAGTACGAAAGTTCAAGACGCCATTTTTCATCTTGCCGCGATAGACCGCCGTTTACGAACGCTTGTTGGCTGATCCGAATAAAGTGCCCCGGCGATCCATTAGTACATAAAAGAAAAACGCGATCTCTCACAGGGTTGGGAAGAGGTCGAAGCAAAGACGCCCCACTCCTCGACCCTGAGATTAAATTCATAGGCGCTTAACCCTCCTCGTGTTTTTGAAATCCTTCGGTTTTCCCCTGTTTTTTGGTAGAATTTCCCTTTATTTTTTTTTTTTTTTTTTTTGAAGCTGGAGATCAAAATCCCCAGATTTTACGATTGTCAGCAAATGATGAAGCCAAAAAAGCAAATTACAAATCAAACAAATCCCAAAATTTGAATATCTGGAAAGGGCATAGCTGATGGTCAACACGTGACCGTCCCTCTGTGCCTTCTTGGTCGCGCCAGAAGGTTTTTCTCGCCTGAGTCCATCCCTCAAATTTAAAAATCCATCATTCGTCCTTGCATTAAACACGGTTACCATATATGGTCTGGTGCCCCCGCTGTTCATCTCGATGTTCTCGGCAAAATCCAAAGACGGATACGCAATGTGATAGGTCCTGACCTGGCATCTCGTCTACAACAACTTTCTCACAGACGTGATGTGTCTTTTCTACAAATATTTTCATGGCATCTGCTCTGACGAGCTACTTTCCCTGGTAACCCCAACTGCATGAATTTAAGCGTGCCTCTAGGTTGGCATCTCAGCCCCACCCTTTCACTGTCGAAACAGTTAAATATAACCGCCTCATCTACTCCAATAGCTTCTTCTTTCGCACTTCCCGAAAGAGAAACTCCCTTCCTCTTTCCTTCCCTGATAGCTGTAATCTTCAAATATTCAAGTGTAATGTCAATCGACATCTTCTGGGGCTTTGATCTTTTCACCTTCACCACCCTTCTCTTTATCCTTTCCTTAAACTTCTTTCTTTACACTTATTCTCACACTTTATAATCCCATGCATGCTAGTGGCACTCCCGCCTTGCTAGGAGTGAAATGCTAAAGAAATAAAATAAAAAAAAGTGTTCTAACAGAGGACGGAAAGTGCGACAATGAGATCCGAACACGTATTGGAATGGCCAAAGATGAATTCCAAAAGCTAAGCAGAGTATTAAGAGACAGGAAAATTTCGTTAAAAACAAAGAAATTAATACTGAACTGTTACGTGTTGTCTGCCCTCCTGTATAGCAGTGAATGCTGGACAATCACCTCAAAGATGAAGAAGAGACAGAAATGTGGTTCTACAGAAAGATGTTGAGGATATATTGATCCGTTTGATGTTGGTATGGTATTCCCCATTGCGAATATTGTAACCTCCCAGAGTCGTAGAGTTCTATAAACATAGCAGCAGATTAATCCAAAATGCAAATTACAAAACGGAGAATAACAAAATCAGGCAGGTAAAAAAGATTTAAATATCTGGGAACTGTTTTAACAGAGGACGGAAAGTGTGACATAGAGATCCGAACACGTATTGGGATGCCTTCCAAAAGCTAAGCAGAATACAGTAGGATCCTTTATATCCGAAATCCCGCATTCGTAGTTGTTAGCAAAAGGACGAGCCCAAAATAAAAATTACAAATCAGATACAAAAATTCAAACAAGTAGAACAATTTAAATATCTGGGAAGTATTTTAACAGAGGACGGAATATGGGGCACTGAAATCCGAACACGTATTGGGATGGCCAAAGATGCATTCCAAAAGCTAAGCAGAGTATTAAGAGACAGGAAAAATTCGTTAAAAACAAAGAAATTAATACTGAACTGTTACGTGTTGTCTGCCCTCCTGTATAGCAGTGAGTGCTGGATGATGATCTTGAAGATGGAAAAGAGATTTGGAGCAACAGAAATGTAGTTCTTGAAAACGGTGCTGCGGATACCATGGACAAAACTTGTGAGTAACGACGAGGTTTTAGATAAAATAGGAAAAAAAAATAAACTTGTCTTTAACAGCAGGAAAAGGCAGCTGAAATTTCTGGAGCACATAATGAGGAAGGAGGCTTGGAAAATTCAATGCTCACATGACAGATTGAGGGAAAAAATAGACAGAGTAAAGCAGCGTCTTTTAAAGTGATAAAATCTTAAGATAACCCCTCGCTATCTCACCTCATTTCCCCGCCTCTCTCCCACTTTCACTCTCTACCTCTCCCTCTCTCTCTCTCTCTCTCTCTCTCCCTCTCTCGCCCCCAAGTTAAGCAGAGTATTAAAAAATCGTTTGAAACAAAGAAAAGAGTACTGAACTGTTACGTGATATCTGTCCCCCTATATGACAGTAAATGCTGGACAATCTGCTCGAAGATGAAAAAGAAGCAACAGAAATGTGATTCTACAGAAGGATCCTGAGGATGTAATTTTTTTTATATAGAAAATGGGAACAAAAAGGAAAAAACTGATAATTAACTCCACGAAGGGACAGTTAAAATTTCTAGGCTTATAACGAGGAAAGAGTGCTTGGAAAATTTAATACTTACAGGACAAAATAAAGGCAATATGGTTGAGAAATACAGAGTACAACCTACTTACTGGGCTTGAGCAAATAGATGCCGGAAACAAGTTTTGGGAGAAATAACAAAAAAAGAAAATTTATTAAGAGCTAAAAAGGATAAGAAATTGTGGAGAGCCATGATCGCTTACGTTCTGAAGGGATACGGTATATAGAAGGAGGTTGACAAGTCTGTTAATGTGGGTCTCCATATTTATGCTTTTTTTATCATTTCACCCAAAGCAAGGTGATAAAGCCACTAGGAGGTAAAGTATCAGTAAAATCATTAATATCTACCAAAATTCTGACAATATAAAAATATTTTCTGTTTTTTTTTAATAATCTTCAAGAGGTTGATAAACCGTCAAAAAATCAATCAGTCAATTTAATGGTAATGGCAATAATAACCGTTTCTTTATAAAGAAACATTTAGCATCCATTGAAAGAGCAGCCAATGATAATCGAGTTACGCTTTTCCTTAATCCCTGACAATTGGGCTGAGATAAAAGTGCAGTATCAGTTCTCTACATCGCTCATAGTAATGGTAATATTATCTGTTTCTTTATAAGGAAACGTTCAGCATTCATATAGGAGTAGACAGTAGTACTGTCGGTTTAAATTTGTAAAATATTTCTAGGATTAATGCAAATATAAAATTTACCATTTAGCTCATTGATGCCATATCCAGAACTCGACTCCAGAGATTCGTAAACGAACAATTTTGTAATCGTTGGGACCATTTGTCAGGCGGTATCAGCAATTGTCTGCCGAATTTCTCTTTTTCAATTTTATATTAAGTTAAAAAAAATAATAATTTATGCGGTTTTTTTTTTATCCGGGGGTATTAGGTTAATATTTTCTTCTTCTTTGTGTATGTGTGTCTGCGTACACCTGTACGTGTGTGTATGTGCCCATGTGTAGAATGTCATGATTTAAATATTTCTATAAAAACAATTTTTCAGTAAAGTAGGTTTACCATGTCCACTAACTGTTATCGTTCTTTTTAGCAACACAGAATTGTATACCCAAGCATTAAAAACTTAAGCAACAATTCAAGTAAGCTGTGTAATACAGTAATATAGGGATTAGAATGGCTAATGTTTACATTAAAGGGTACGCTAATGTATACATTAAAAGATACGCTAATCTGTAGATTAAAAGATACGTACTAATCGAAAATGCATTAATCGAATATAATAACTTACAGGAAATGATGTAATTTGAACCTCAAATTTTAGTCGGATTCACAATTAATTTCTAATTTGCTTACCTTTTAATTGAAATAAAAGTACATACAAGATACAGTAAAAGAACGCTAATGGCCTGGTAATATAAGAACAGGATTCAACAGATGATGACGATTGATATTGCATTTAAATGTTTGAAGATCGTAGCTGACAGGAAGTCAGGATTCCGGAAGTGCGTGGAAAGAAACACTTAGAATAGAACTTGCGGTTATAACTAAAATTTTGACAGAGAAATTACGAGACCTAGTTGCCAATCAAGTACTGCGAGAAAAGCTCATGAGAAAAAAAATTAACCTGCGAAATATCTATAGACTAGACAAAGGGAAATGCGTTGCGGCGGTGGGAAAACGACTTAAGCCGAGATGCCAGGTCAGAACCGATAAAGATGTTGATTCTTCTTTGAGCGCAAGATTCGAGAATGTCATTTGGTCAGAATTTGGGAAGTTGGTCGGTCGAGAATTTTTCCGCACCCCCTCGTAAATGCACTAAACGATACAGACAGTTAACAAACGTATTTCTTTCGTCAGAGCAGGCGACCACTTATCGCAGTTAAGTTTAGGTTGCGTCGTTGCAACAAGTTTGGGCTGGTAAGACTTTTGATGTATTTCTCGGTCAACTTCTTAAATCCTTCTTGAAAAAAAAAAAAAAACAACCCTGGTTATTTCCGTCTACTAAGACAATTTAATTTCCCCAACACTTTCACAAAATTACCTGAAGTAGTGTTTATGCTTATAATGGGTATCCGGAAGTGACTCAGCAAAAGACGTATTTTATGCAGGAAGCACTTTTCACAAGAATATATAAATATTGGGAAGTGACTCAGCAAAACACATTTTTGCTCTGGAGTTTTCGTCAATTTCCTCTTTTTCTTCTTATTTTTGTATTTCTCTTTCATTATTTATTTCCTCTTTCTTTCATTTTACAAGGTATACATCATTTTCTCCTTCCTTGCTTTTTATCGGTCTTTCTTTCGGTCTTCTTCACAACCCCCTCTGATCATCGGAAATATTTTGGGTCGAAGGCACGGGGAAAATTAGTGTGATTTTTCATCCTCAACATGATCGGGCCCACTTATGTTACTCTACAAAATTGCTGAGAGGACCTTAGTTACAGCTCAAGCATATGCCAGACAAGGGTCACATACGGTTTTGAATTCAGAATTGACCTTCTCCTTCAAAGTTGCCAACAATGCCCTGCTATTTAAGCCATACCTGACGGTAGGAAATATGGATTCATTCATTTTCTATCCCTTTTTGTGGGAAAGTGAATGAAATTCGAACTCATTCGCCGCTTTTTCAGAGCCTCCAATGATTACACCACCTGCACATCCATAAACCTCGCTTACACTTTCTTTTATTTTCCACTTTTTTCTCTATGGATTTCCTTCCTTCCTTTTTTCCTGCATGCGGCTACTAATCCTTTTTTCTTCCTTTCTTTCTTTGTTTCTGCCTACCTACCATTAATCTTCCTTCTTCACTACCTTCAATACTCTTTCTTTCTTTATTTCTTTCTTTCTTTCTTTTTTCTTTCTTTCTTTCTACCTACCTACCTACCATTAATCTTCCTTCCTTCACTACTCTTTCTTTCTTTCTTTCTTTCTTTCTTTCTTTCTTTCTTTCTTTCTTTCTTTCTTTCTTTCTTTCTATCCACCATTAATCTTCCTTTCTTCCTTCCTCCACTACTTCTTTCTTTCTTTCTTTCTTTCTTTCTTTCTTTTCTTTCTTTCTTTCTTTCTTTCTTTTTCTACCTACCTACCTACCATTAATCTTCCTTCCTTCACTACTCTTTCTTTCTTTCTTCCTTTCTTTCTTTCTTTCTTTCTTTCTTTCTTTCTTTCTTTCTTTCTTTCTTTCTTTCTTTCTTTCTTTCTTTCTTTCTACCTACCTACCTACCATTAATCTTCCTTCCTTCCTTCTTTCCTTCCTTCCTTCCTTCCTTCCTTCAATAAACTTAATAAAAGACTAAAACGGATAATTTCAGAAAAATTTATTCATATGTGAAATACGATGAAAATATTGGACAGTTAAAAAAAAAAACATTTCTTTTAAAATTTTCATTCTTTCTTGTTGCTTTGCTGGTAGCCATGATTAATTTAACAAAAAATCGATGATATATATATATATATATATATATATATATATATATATATATATATATATATATATATAAATATTGGAATTAAAAAAACATTTCTTTTAAAATTTTCATTCTTTCTTGTTGCTTTGCTGGTAGACATGATTAATTTAAAAAAAAAAATATATATATATATATATATATATATATATATATATATATATATATATATATATAAATATTGACTGTTAAAAAAACATTTCTTTTAAAATTTTCATTCTTTCTTGTTGCTTTGCTGGTAGACATGATTAATTTAACAAAAAAAATATATATATATATATATATATATATATATATATATATATATATATATATATATATATATTAAAAATGTTATTTTTGCGATGATAATAATAGAAAAAAATTTTTAAATGTAAAAAAAAAGAAAGAAATCGACAATAAAAAAAAAAGAAAATTTGTTCCTCGTTCAAAGCCCCGCAATATCCAGTTCTCGTGACATTTGGCAGACGACACACGGTTCGCAAAGCAGAGCTGCAAAGAAGTCTTCTACAACTGAGCCCTGAAAAAGAAAAAAAAATGTCCGTTGAAAATAAATGACAAATAATGAAAAACAAAAAAAACATTGCATTTTCACTTTTAATCTAAAAATAGACATGACTCTGTAGGGACATCGAACCATTAAGCAATTGTGCAAGGTTTCACATTGAGGACTAATTATTCAAATTTCTGTAATCATTGACCCCAACACCAAATGACATAAAGTTTGCGTAATATCCAGAACCTTACTCAGCATTCTACTTGGGGTTCATTTCAGCCATATTGTTGTCTCGAATGTCCTCGTTCATCCCCGAATTTCCAGTTCGATCAGCATTACCGCTAGACATTTTGGGATTGTTCCCAGAATTCCGGCAATGATGACTCAGCTTCAAATTTCAAAGTCGAAACATTTATCCAACTTTGCACTTTTACTCATCCGTCTGCTGAAAAAAATGAAATCTACAGATATATCTCTGTCCCTCTCTATTTGTCTATTTCTCTCTCTCTCTATCTCTGTCTTTCTGTCTGTCTCTCTCGCTGTTTTTCTGTCTATCTGTCTGTCTCTCTATGTGTCTGTGTGTATTTTTTGTGTTTCTGCCTTCCTCTTTGTCTCACTGTCTGTCTGTCTGTCTGTCTGTCTCTCTCTGTCGTTTCCCACCCCCCTCTCTCTCCCTCTTTCTCTCTCTCTGTCTATTTCTCCCAGTCTGTCTCTGCCGGTCTGTCTGTCTGTCTCTCTCTCTCTCTCTCTCTTTCTGTCTATCTCTGTGTCTTTCTCTGTCTGCCTTTCTATTTCTCTCTGTCTGTTTCTCTCTGTCTGTTTCTCTCTATCTATTTGTCTGACTCTCCCTGTATTTCTCTCTCTCTCTCTCTCTCTCTGTGTCTTACTCTGTCTGTCTTTCTCTCGATATATCCATCTTTGTTTCTCTCTGTTTGTTTCTCTGTCTGTCTGTCTGCCTTTCTCTCTCTCTCTTTCTGTCTGTCTGTCTCTCTGGGTGTTTTCTGTCTGTCTCTCTGTCTGTCTGTCTCTGTATCTGTCTGTCTCTCAGTTTTTCTGTCTGTATGTCTCTCTCACTCTCTCTGTGTCTGTCCATCTATCTCTGTCGCTCTCTCTTTCTGTCTTTCTCTTTGTCTCTGTCTGTCTGTCACTGTCTCTCTGTTTTTCTGTCTGTCTGTCTACCGCTCTCTGTATTCTGTCTGTCTGCGTGTCTGTTTATCTCTGTCTGTCTGTCTGTCCCTCTCTCTCTCTCTGTTTTTCTGTCTGTCTCTCTGTCTATCTCTGTCTGTCTTATTTGTCTATCTGTCTCTCTGTCTCTCTCAGTTTTTTCTGCCTGTCTGTCTGTCCGTCTATCTCTGCTGCTCTCGCTTTCTGTCTTTCTCTTTGTCTCTCTCTCTCTGTCTGTCACTGTCTCTCTCTGTTTTTCTGTCTGTCTGTCTCTGTTTTTCTATCTGTCTGTCTCTGTGTGTGTCTCTCTCTCTTTTTCCCTCTCTCGTTCTCTCTCTCTTTTTCCCTCTCTCTTTCTCTCTCTCTCTCTCTCTCTCTTTACAATCATCAGATTTAGATCAGATACTCTGGTTTAGACTGGGCGATCCTTTTTTATCTCACTTCCATTGGCTTGTAAGGTCAAATAATCGCTAGCACTATTCTCAGTGGATTACCTTTCCCACCCAATCATGCCTACTTTTGTATACCTTTAGAATCTTATACGGTTTATCGTATCATTGCTATCTGTAGAAAAGTCCTGTATTTTTTTTTTTAGTTTCATCAATACAAGACCTGAGAGCCACTTAAGGTAGAGGGTTACTGAATAAGATTGTTAAATGAAAGTTTATTTTTCACATACACAACATATACTGTTTTATTACTTAGATGTGTAATGAAAAAAGTACACAGGTATAGGCTTTAAGAAAACTTTATACAACTGAGAATACAAGGTTCTCGTATAGTGTCCTTTTATAGTCCCAATAAACAGAAATAGGTATCTCAAAGAGGAGAGTAACAAAAGAAGGGGGTGGCCAGTCCTTATTATTCATAACAAGATGCTTGAATATATTTTTTATTAAAATAAATAAATCGTTTTAGTTAGGATCATACTTGCTTTACCCGTACGTGGGTTTATTTTTATTTTTCCAAAATTTAACTTGTTAATTTAGGAGTGTGTCTTTGACTGTGGGAGATCCACATTGTTCTAGGTGTTCAGCTTAGAATTCATGCCGTGAATCTGAGATTTTATTCCTGTGTGAAGATGTCTTCTGGTGTCTTAGGTTTCATTCATATCCACCATTCCTGAAATCTTCGAATCATGTCTCGTCACTGGGATTTCAACTCGCTGTTCTCGAGATGCATAAACTCGTCGAGCAGAGGAAGAGCTGTTTCTATTAAATTTGGCGAACGAGAACTCTCCACCCGACAACGAATGGTTTCCAAAACAATAGCCCACGCCCTGCAGCTCGAAAATCAACTCTGGAATTTAGTTGTATTTGGTTACAGAAAACTGAGAGGCCAGATTTTCTGGTTTCACCATTACCGATTCGCAGAATGAATAGGGCCATTGTGAAAATCTGCAGATTTTGGGATTTTATTCAAAAACTTACAAGAAACGTCCAAACAAAAAAAACAAGCAAATAAAACGAACATTTAACACAGAAAATTCTTACAAAGTAAAAGAGTCGCGTAATTTAAATTTCCGAAGGCTGGCTTTGGAGACAAACAGAAATTTACTGCTCGAAATGCTATCTATCTATCTATCTATCTATCTATCTATCTATCTATCTATCTATTCCTATATCGATATCTATCTATCTATCTATCTATCTATCTATCTATCTATCTATCTATCTATCTATCTATCGCCTTCTCCCTATATATCGATATCTATCTATCTATCTATATATATATATATATATATATATATATATATATATATATATATATATATATATATATATACCTATCTATATCTATCCAAATTTATTCATTACATATATATATATGAATATATCGATTTATATCTATCTGTCTAAATATATCGTGGTATAAATTCCTATCTATTTATATTTATATATATACCTATCTATGTCTATCTATCTATATTTCCATCTATCTATCCATCTATCTATATTCATAATATATATATATATATATATATATATATATATATATATATATATATATATATATATATCTATCTATATATATATATATATATATATATATATATATATATATATATATATATATATATATATATATATATATATATATATCTATCTATCTATCTATCTATCTATCCATATCTATCTATCTATCTATCTATCTATCTATCTATCTATCTATCCATATCTATCTATCTATCTAACATAACATCTATAACTTTCTGCTACTTATCAGATGTTCACAAAGTATTGCAGATGAGTTCATTTTGTTGCTAGATATGGTTCTTGATTTTCAATGGAACATGTCGTTTAATTCTAGTATCAACCGCTAGTTCTCCCTATGTAACTGAATCCGCAACTACAATTTTACTTATGAACTACAGAACTTATTTGATGACGGGGGGAGAACGCCCTTACGACTCAAAGATAGAATCGATCTAGTACCAATTACAATACGCATTGTTTTTCCTTCCTTTTATTTTTTATCCCTCATTATGCCTTGTAATGTTAAACTTAATACTTTTTAAAGATTATATATATATATATATATATATATATATATATATATATATAATGCTATGGATAAATTGTCGTCTAAATGATACAAAATTGAAAATAACACTGACATCTCATTTTAACATATATACTGGGTGCAATGAATAAATTGTCGTCTAAATAATTTATCTCATTTTAACAGATATATTTATCAAAATGACACAAAAATATCTTGAAATACTAAAGAGTACATTTATTCCATAAAATCGACATTGGTTTTAAACACGACCTCCAGACGACTTGGGAATCTCCTGCAACTCTTCTGGAGAGTCTCCTTGTTTCAGTTGGTGAATGCTTCCTTGCCTTCATCTTTGGTGCTACAAGGAATTTTGTTGGTCTCTCACTCAACTGCGCCCCACACATAATAATCAAGGGGGCTGCAGTCTGGGGAGTTAGGTGGCCAGATGTAAGGGGTGATGTGATCACAAAAATTGTCTGACAGCCATGACTTGGTTTTCCTGCTTGTGTGTCCTGGTGCAGAGTCCTGTTGCCAGACACAGCGTCTTCCAGCAGCCAACCTTTTGACCCAGGGCATCACAATCTACGCAAGGCACTTGATGTAAGCCTCCGTGTTGAGGCTGAGACCCTGTGGAAAGATGAATGGAGGCATAACATCGCCATCACTAGTTATCACTCCAAACACCTTCGTAATCACCATTAGACTCATCCAGCTCATTCCAAATCCTCTTCACTCTCTTGATTGACGCCCAAACACTTTGAAATGTTTGTATTGGAGCTTCCAGTGCCAATGCCAAGCAGTACAACATGCTGTTTTTCAAATTTCTGGCGGATTAAATTGCGATATGGTACTTTTTTTATCAAGGACAGGGCCCAACTAACAATACCTTATAACAAAAGCTTCATGTTTCTTAATATTTTGCTTAACTTTTGGAAGGTATCTTTCGCTGATATTAGGTAGTAGTTCAGTACTCTTTTTTGGTTTCTAAAAGAACACTCTATTTCTGAATATTTGTTTAGCATTTGAAAGAGGGAGAAGGAAAAAAGGAAGCGAAGAAATTTAAGAATGAAAAGAGAAAAGGAAGAAAGCAAGCGAAGAAATTTAAGAATGAAAAGAGAGAAGGAAGAAAGGAGAGAACAGGAAAGGAAGAAAATAAAATATTTAAAAAAAACTACCTCCATTTTTCTTACCTTTATACTAAATAGCGTTCTGATTTTCACTCTGAATCCGTACATTGCACACGGTATCAAAGGCACAAACGGAGATTCACCAATGCGCATGCCCATAGTGTATTTGAAATATGGCCAACAACAAAGTGACGTGATACCTTCAATTAAAAAAAGAAAAAAAAAGATTAAGAACAAAAACAGCGCATGCGTACATTTTTATGGATTAAACTGGGGAAAAAAGTCTCCAATTCGAATCTTTAAAAATAAACACCATTATGAAATAGAATATGATTACTAATAGAATCTTTAAAATAGTATCGCCTAAGGCAAGTCTACAATTTTATTGCTACTAAAGTTCGCCCAATACAAGACTCTCGCTGCTCTATTTCCATGGCTTGCGTTCTAACGAGCTACATTCCTTAGTTCCACCAACCCTGACACTTGCGATTGGGACCCACCAGGCCACATACACAAGTATGACTCATTCTCGTTTCCTTCGTATCCCATTACTAAGGAGCAAGTCCCATTCTTACAACTTCTTCCCAAGAACTGCTGCTTAGTGGAAGAGACTCCCGGCAGAATTTTTTTCCTAATTACTACAATCTTTATGTGTTGTAACCTCTTTATGTGTTGTAACTTAGGGAAGGTTACTGAATAGAATAATCAAACGAAGGTTGGTAATGAACAATAATACTTAGGACACGAACAACACATATAAGATTCGCCAGCGGCGCGTAAAAGAGCTGCTAGAAGTGAGTCAAGAGAATTCCACAGTGAATCTCCAACTGCGGTCAGATGCGGCACAAGGCCGAATTTAATGTGGGGTACCCGAGCACCTAAGCTCGGCCAAACATTCCCCTTAAACCCAGTATAAAACGAGGTCGGGTAGCAGTTTCCTGAGTCGAGACTCTGAGCTTCGACAAAGCCTCGTCTGGGGACCCTCGCTGTCCGGAGGCAGAGTGTCTGACCAGCACAGCTGGAGACGAATCTCCAACTGCAGACCAACGTACAGTATTTACTACTGTATTTATGTTAATGGCGACATAGCCATTATCGTCCGTAGGTATGTCTAAGGTTAAACTTTATATTTCCTTGCATAGCCGCATGAACTTCATTTCGCGACCTTCCTTAAGCTCATATAACAGCACTCAGTAACCCTCTACCTGGAATGGCTTTTGGGCATTGTATTGGGCCAATATTAGTATAAGAAGATCCAAATGTTTTTTCACATTCCATATATATATATATATATATATATATATATATATATATATATATGCTCCCCGGTCGAGCTCTTGAGGGAAAGGGCTTTTTAAAACAGCGGTTTCTACTGCTATTAAACATTACTCTTCAAGTATGAATTGAGTTCTCCAAGCCGCTGGTGTATTTCGTATAGAGAAAAACGTTAAAATTTTATTTCTGCCGTGCGACGATATCCTAGAGGTAAGATATCTGACTGATGTCAGTGTGTCTAGCTACACTGAGAAGCTGTGACAAAGCGAAACAATCTGTCTGTGGATGACTATATATATATATATATATATATATATATATATATATATATATATATATATATATATGAAGAAACCTGTAGGCAGTTCGATCGGACTTTCGCAGATTGTGTTAGAGTGTTTGTCGATGGCTGGTTTAAAGAGCACACAGACGGAGAGTAGCAATTGACTATAAAGTCGTAGACATCCAGCAACTGAAATGTGATATTTGC